GAATTTCTGCCGCCGACTGTGACCTTGCCGACTTCCGGCGCTCCCAACGCGCCATTTTTAGAGCTAGGGAAACGAAATACATACCAAACGATACAGAATTGATCAAGGAACACGATAGTGAAGGTTTCAAGTCGATATCTCCCACCGTTTTGCCGCAATCGCCGCGGAAAGTTGAAAAAGTGTGATTTTTTCGGAAAATTTGACCTTTGACCGGTCATAAGTAGGTCAAATGTTGACCTAGGACCAAAAAATATACCACCAATCGCGAGATCTCGTTGAGAGCAATCCGTTGGTTTTTTCCGCTAAGCTCTACGACCTTCCGTTTCGAAACGCCAGGGGGGGTCGTAACAACCCCCCCCCCCCTGGTCGTTCGTGTTATGAGAAATGGCCTGGTCGTGCGAGGGTTAAGCAGCCTAGGAACGATTAGCCAGACTACAATGAAACTTTGAATGTAGCTTATATGTATCGTCACCCTTGCAGCTGCAACTTTAGCTATTGACATCTTCTTTTCAATCACTTCGCATTAAACAATCGCCAGTCAAAGCCAACCGTTGAGTTTGGTAAAACCCTACATTACTTTAGCGGTGGGCTGTACCTCTGGCGGGCCTAGGGTGCCCCTGCTAGGCTGCTGATGCCCCTGGGACCTGACAGGACTGTGGTGCCCCTGACAAGCCTAAAGTGCCCCCAACAGGCCCGTGATGCCCCCGACAGGCCCAAGGTGCCCCTGCGTGATGCCGTGATGCCTGCGAGGCCGGTGGTGCCCCCTGCGAGGCCGGTGGGGCCCCTGACAGGCCCATGGTGCCCCTGCTAGACCGGTGGTGCCCCTGGCAGGCCTGTGGTGCCCCTGCTAGGCCGCTGGTGCCCCTGGGCCCTGACAGGACTGTGGTGCCCCTGACAGGCCCAAGGTGCCCCTGCAAGGCCGGTGGTGCCCCTGTAAGGCCTGTGGTACCCCTGCTAGGCCTCTGGTGTCCCTGACAGGCCCATGGTGCCCCTGCGAGGCCGGCGGCGCCCCTGGCAGGTCTCTGGTGTCCCTGACAGACCTGGGGTGCCCCTGACAAGCCTGTGGGGCCCCTCACAGGCCCGTGGTGCCCTTGCTAGGCCTGTGGTGCCCCTGGCGGGCTGGTGGTGCCCATACTAGGCCGGTGGTGCCCCTGACAGGCCTGTGGTGCCCCCGGGCACCAAGGGGGTCATGACCCATGTGGCCCCCCTTGGATCTGCCACGGATGCATAATATATTGATTTGTAAAGGCGTTATGGCTTATGCAATATGCAATTGCAGGCACTTGGTATCCCTCACGGCTCACTTATCCCTCATTGGGGCTCTGGCGGGCTCCTGAGGGCCCACGTCTATCTCCGGGAGCCCATATAGACAGGCTCCTTTGGGTCCTTTCAGTACACTATAGCATAAGAGGTCTCCATGCGAGTCCTATACATACATCTGAGGGCGTACCCTGATGTCTGAGGTACCCAACTGCAGCTCCAATGGTCTCTTCTTACACTGGCGGATCCAGGGAGGGGGCATTTAGGGCCATGCCCCCTTCCCAGAGGCCTAAAGTGGCCCGTTTTCCCCCTCCCCCAAACGATAATGAAACATAGTTCAATCAGGGCGTGGCCCAGGAGCCGAGTTAGACAGGGCTGTTTTACCACCTCCGGCCCGCAAAGGGACCCAAGCACTGACTCGAAGCGGGTTAAAGAGACCCTCCCACCTTCAAAAAAGTTAATGAATTGGCATGAAAGTGATGTCGCTAGGTTCAGAAAGGGCGAAAACGAATATCTACCAAATTTTATCGAAAAATATTCACCGGTTTTCAAGAGATTAGACTTTTATTTTTGTTTACTTTTTGGGATATCTGCTGCTGTTCCTAGCGACTTTATTTGAAAGTGCGGCATTTGTTGCGCGCAAAGCAGCCTATACCACCGCATGCTACCAAACGTTTTAGTAAAATATTAAAAATCATTAGATCTCCGCTGACGTCACACATTCAGAGGGGTATCCAAAAGCATTAGCCCCTCTGAATCAAAATGCTGCAATTTTGAAATTCAATATTTCCGATTTAAGGCATTTCTCGATGCTGTGAGTGCGTGCCGAAACCGGTAATTGTGAGCCAGGGACCCCATTTTGGCTATCTCAGCTCAAATCTAATGTTAAGGTGGGAGGGTCCCTTTAACTAGTCGATAAAAACAATGGTAAGTGTTTACAAAGTAATATAAAGGCATGGGTCGGGTGGACTACCATTTATATATTTTTCTTTTTAGTTAAAAAAAATTCATAGTGTCAGGGCTGTGACGAAAAATAAGTGGCCTAAATCCGATGAGAAAACAGGATTTGGGGGTACCCTAGGTTTGGCTCCTGCATGAGTTGGCCCCCCCCAAAACGCAAGCCTGGATCCGCCAGTGTTCATATCACTGCACTGGACATAAAATAAATCTGTGTGCCCGCAAAAATGTTGAGGGCTGCACAGTGAGCAATCTACAAGAGGCACAATGCAAAATGAGCGAAAAATCGTACTTTGGCTTAGATGGAGAGAGGCCAACCATTACATTGCCTTGAAAGTGGCGCTCTGTAGTCGTCGTGGCGGGTGCGGCAATGCGACGTTAGCTGATAATTTATCCCGGTGGGATACTCCGGCTACCGTTATCAAACACGCGGATTGTCGCCGTCACCGTCACGTCACCTGTGTGACACGGGATTACGCCGTGTCAGGGCGTCCGTCACGCGCGTGTGAAGGGAGCCCCGGCTCGGGTCAGCCGCTGTCCCCGCCCGTGACCCTCGGCGCGGTGTCCCAGCCGTCTCCGATAGCGGCGGCACCTGTCGCGCCGCCGGGCCGCGGGTGACACCGCGGATTACACGCATTAACGGACCAGCCACGGCGGATTAATGGTCCACCTGGCACCCGTACATCCTGGTTCAAGTGAAAGCGATAGCGCTGATGAGCGCTGCCTCCAGAAGCTCCGTCACAAAGGCAACCGAAAGGCTGGCGACCGTGCCACCGGCCACAGCTGTATGGGGACTAGGGAGCTTGGTTCTCCTATTCCGTACTAGCTTTGCCAGAAATTGTGGTTTCCAAAAATAGACTGCTGGTATGTTTGTTGGACATTGGTGTTGCATTGACGGTGTACGCAGTTGTGCGTGATGCGTACGTACAACAAGCTACTGCACTTAGAGGAGCTGATCCCTGTCCAATGTCCATGTCCGGTGCCCTCGCGAGGGCCCGCTCGTGTGAGAAGTGCACTCGGAGCAGTCGGTGCAGAATGACCAGCGGCCTCCGAATGACCGGAAGCTGCGGTTACCGAGCGGTGTGCAGAATCACGGTAGTCAAGATCCTATTTAACCCGCGCACCGACGGGGGGGCGGATATCCCCCCCTGAGGTTTTTCGCGAATAGCGGGAAAACCGCGGCGCGTAGCGCCGCGAAATTTGGTATGACTATAACCTCATCAATTTTACACATGGTGTGCAAGTTTGAACCTCTTACCTTTTAAGGTCAGGTCACCAGGTCACTTTGAATGACCCAACCTCAAGTCACTTTTTTGCAACTTTGTCACCGTGCCAGAGCTACAGTAGATGTCGGAGGCCTTTGAAACTCGCAGGATATTATTAGGTCATTAGTAGCTACAATTTGTATATCTCGGAATTTTGATATCGGTGACCTAAGGTCAGGTCAATTTCGCGACCTCCCCATTATAAGTCAATGGGGGGAAAAATCAACTCCCTGTTTTTACCACTAAAACGGGTCGGAATGGCCCCATATACCATACATGACTTCATATGCGATCAACCTTCACTACCTTGAGGTCTGTTTTGCTGTTGGGCAGCTGTGAGGTCATGTGACGTCATCAAAGGTCACCAAAGGTTTTTGGCCAATAACTCCGTACAGGAACAAGATACAGACGCGTGGATGGTCTCATTGTGTTCAGCTCGTCAAGACGCATCGAATGATATACATGATGACCTCGAGGTCACGTGACCTGAGGTCAACCTTTGACCTTGACCTTTCGAGGTCAACATGTATATCATTCGATGCGGATTGACGAGAGGATCACGATGATGCCCTTAGTTTGTTCCTATCTTGACTAATTCGAAAGTTATTCGAGAAAAACTCTCTCCATATCTAGCGCCGCCATTTTGACTTTTTCGACCCCTGTGACGTCAACTTTGACCTGACCTGAAAATGACCTTAGTAAAAATTGTAGATCTTGGCCGTGCGTATCCGATGCCGTTTACCGCTTGTCGCTATCTTGCTTCGTTCTCGAGATCTCAGGGGGGGGCGGTCATCCGCCCCCCCCCCCAGAGGTGAAATAAAGTGCCGTCACGGCGACGCACGGCGGTGGAAAATCGAGCAACTCAGCGATCCTGGATGGTGGAAAAAATGCCGCCGCCGATGCTCTGCCTGTTAAACCCGATCCGGCTTTCTCTTGTCTAAGGAAAGCATCTAAATTAAAAAAAAATGATTTTTTTTTTATCAAACCTAAGCCTTTTTATCTTTTTTCCCTGAATTTCCCTATAATTATGAAAAGTTCTCGAAACCCTAGAGAAATATTCAGGTGTTTCGCAGACTTCTTAGAAATTCCCCAGATCCACTGACTTTTCACCGGAAGTTCTGGTTGGTGGAATATGGTGGAAGGCGAAAATAAAGTAAACTGCTGCGTTAAATGCGGCAATACTCTCGTCAAATATAAAAAGGATTTTTCTGATTTCAATAATCCCTTTTTCCTCGCTCATAACTTATTATTTCTTTAGTTTAAGGCCTTATTGAAAAAAGCTAGTGATGAAACAATGCCGACGACCGGCGACGGCGCGGCGACGAGGGTGGAAGAGCAATATTGTAAAGACTAGAAAATTCTGACATGCGATAAATTCCTCAAAATATTTGATTTTACAACACCATTCTGAAGTATTAAAGTTTCATGCATTTGTATGTAATTTCATAAAGAAATATTTATTTCATACACTAGCACTCAACAGTTTAACAGCACTAGGAGCTCCGCTAGTTTCCGCGTTGTTCAAGGCAGTGAAGGAAGTGTTGAAGGTCCGCGGCGTTATTAGTGAATTGCGGGGTGGTGGAAAAGGCTGGCGGATAAGTTGAAGTGAAGAGGTGGATAAGTTAGAGCCCTCGTCGTGGATTAGGTACACCTCGTGATGCCAAAAAGGAAGCTGCACGGACAGAGACTGGCTCCATCTGAAATAAAGGTGCGGTGCGGTCATCCAGGATGCAAGTTTTATGGTAGGCCGGATACCTTCAAGATCCATAACAATAGGAAGCACGGAGGGCATAAGAATGCTAGAGTGAAGAACTCAGGTTTTGAGCCTGGGGCAAAGTTTGCCTGCTATGCTCCTCTTCCACTGGTAAGTACCTGATGATATGAATCATTTTGGGTGGGAAAAGCTACGGGTGATTGGGAAACCTTGTGCACTCACTCCTCAGTGTTCTACTACCTGCACCGCATCTGCATTGAAGTCACCAGACCATTGAGTGAACTGTCTGCATGTTATTCCGTTTAAATTTCGGTAGGTACCCGTCGCTGGAGCCGCTGTGGTGTATTAATTGTGGAGAAGTATTTATTTTCACGTGAGGAATTATGCATTTTTGAAAGACGCATCTAACGGTGTTATTTGCATGCGTCTATCTGCTCTCGCTTGCAAGAAAATCGTCAATATCTGCAGGACTATTTTCTTTCCGACGCGGATGCTTTTAACGTCTACTTCTCCCCCTGCCAACCGCCATCGGTTGTCATGACGACCAACCCCTACCGGGACCGGCCGGCGCCCTGAGACGCCGGTAGCCAGCTAAACCAACAACGCCGGCCGACCCTGCTGACCCTTCACCCCTCCCCCGGCGGCCCGCTCGGCGCGCTCGGCGTGCGAGGGGACATGGAAGCAGCGAACAGCTGACTGCTTCCGGCACTGGGGCCCCGGACGGGTCTCACCGTGTAGAACCTTCCTGTCCTGAAATAATCTCGTCAGACCAAAAGGACCTAACCCAACAAAACAAAACAAAACAGATTATTCTAGGCTAATGGTGATTGGAAAATCAAAATTTGACGATTTCTGGCAGTCTACATTTTATGTAAAATGCACATTGCACTCGTTTCGCAGTATTATTTAATAGAAAATAACAGTAAGGAGTCCATATCGAAGTAGGCATTTCGTAGCATACTTAGAAGTTAATTTTAAAGTCTTTGTTTTTCGTTTCGATGTGCATAAGTGATTTGTCGTTGAAACTGTTGATTTTTCACGACAAAAACCGGACTCTCCGGAGCCCCGCGCACCGACGGGGTTTGGCGTCAACTTAGTAGACGGGGGCGAATACCTGCTCCCCCCCCCCGGCCCCTGTGCCATCTCGAGAACGAAGCAAGCTAGCAAGCTTAAGTAGGTATACTTCGCGAGGAATCGCCAATTTTTGCTTTTCCAATCCCCATTAGCTTAGAATAGTCGATCTGTTCCTCTGAAGTCGCTCTTTTACGGATCGCCGTTTTAGATAATCGCTCAAGCGTATGAGTCGTTGCTCTAGACGTCGCTCAAAATGCAATTACCGTTTTGAGTGAGTCGCTTTTTTGTTTGTTTATTGGGGCTTTTAGGGCGCGCCGACTGCGAAGGTCATTTTGCGCCCATAACGTCACACTAATAAAACAAGTGTTTCAAAAGAAACCTTCTATATACCAAGGCTTGACAGTAAAAGACTTGATAAAAACGACAAGGTAAGATAGAACAACGCAAGACCGTCGTAACAGTCAACTGACTAGGCAAGTAGACTTTGAGAGGAATTGGGTCAGGTTGAGTAAATCACTTGGAAGTTGACCGAACGGATAATCCAGCAAAAACGGACTGATTTTCCAGATTGCTCCACCGACGTAAGCCGAGTTAAAATGTCCCGTACGATGGGGTCAGCTGAGTTAAAACTACGTAAGGCCAATAAGCTGCTTAGAGAATCAGATAAAATCAAGTAAAAGGGATTGCCAGGAACCTTGATGAAACACAAAGCCTTCTCTATAGCGACTAACTCTGAAGAAAATACCGGGGCGGACGGTGGCAGAGAAAACGAGCGGGTGTCACGACCAGCGACAAAAGAGCAGCCCGCTCCCTCGGTTGTCTTCGAGCCGTCTGTATAAACCGTGATAAAACCATCATAAACGGCAATGTGCTCTAAGGCTCTGGCTCGCGCCTCAGCAGGCAACAAGTTGTCCTTCTTAACAGTCGATAGTGAGAGGTCCACTTGCGGAATGGCGTTTTTCCAGGGTGGAGGGGGCGTGTCCCAGGTACGCCGAATGCCACGCAAGGATATGTTAGCAACTGAAAAAAGACCTCCCATGCGTACTCCAAGCGACGGTCGTACCCTCCCGTCAGATCGAGTAGCGTGACGTCACTGCTTTAAAGTCGCTGTTTGACACGCACACCCTCAAAGTCGCCTGTTGACCTGACATTGAATGACCCAGGTCTGAAATTCTCACAACCTATGCGGAAAAGATGCATGAATAGCTCTGCCAAAAAACCGCAGCTAGTGCTCAACCCCCCTCCCCTTTCACCCCCCCCCCCCCACCTCGGCCCGGCACGTGTTAAAAGGTGACACCTCACATCCATACTGACAATACTTTTAACGCAAAACTTTGTAAGTTTCACATGATCATGACCAAACGCTCGGTCAGGTATGGTTAGGTGGGGTTAGGTCAGGTTAGATTAGTTTTGGTTAGGTACTTTTGCTTGTTATAATCTTTTTTTAGGATCCAATGATCTTATGTTCCATTCCCAAAAATATGGAATTATCTCTTTCCCACACCAAATCATTTATTCCTAATTCACAACGCGCATCTACCTTCTCGCGTAAAACTATATGTTACACAAAGCTCTCAAGGCTCAGGCTGTACCGCTAGCGATTTCTTGCTGTTTTGGACTGGCTGCTTGACATTCCAGTGACAATTAATGCGTCTGTTTTTTAAGGCTTCTGATGGAGCTCTGGAGAGTGGAGAGACGACAGCCGCGGCAGCTGAAAGCATGGACTGTGGTCCACCTATGTCCCCAGTCCACGAATCTGTCCAGCTGGAAGCAGAAGACAGTGACAACCCTCCTGCAAACAACACTTCCGAAGCCCGTGGAGGTGATGGCGCTGCCCCTGCTGGACCCAGTAGGGAGTTAGCAGATCTGTTTTCTGCCATGAAGAGCGTTGCCCTGCAAGTAAAACGTAATGAATCCAAGTTGAACGAGATCATCGACATTCTCAGAAAGGGCAGCGTGACTACTGCTAAGATAGGTCAGAAAAGAACGGATGAAACATCGGAGGCAGCTAAACTGTTGATACGCTCGGGGAGAAGCATCGCCGCCCTCCAGGTTGCTACAGACAACCTTCTCACTCAGTCCCCAGATGAAGGCCTCATCGCCTGTTCTGCATGTGTGCCGTCTGGCGCTGTGCGTCGAAGGGGCGCAAAAGGTGTGTTCACCTACGACTTTAATCTGGGAACCAGTTTTGCAGATGGTCAGTCTCTCCCATCATCGTTCAGGCACCTGAGGGCGGCCATCAGGAGTCACTTTTGTGGCCTACACCACGGAAAAACCGTACTCGCCAAAAAACAAACGGACGAGTTGGCGAAAGGACGTTTTGCGCGGAACGCCAGCGCCGCCAGTCACGTCCTTCGCACGGGGTACTTCGTCCTGAAACGGTCCCTGCCAAGGGCTTCGTTTGAGGACCTGGTCGTTCTCCAGGCGGAGAATGGCACGAGGGTGGGTAACACCAACCACTCCAGCATGTTTGTCCCTACAATGCGGCTGCAGTTCTCGACTGTCATGACGAGTATGCTGCAGAGGTTCATTGAGCAGCAACCATGCGTCTCCATGTGCGCAGACAAGGTGACCGTCGCAAAGCGAACCATCGACATAACCGCCGTGATAGCTGTGGTTAGTGGGGCGCCTGCGGGTCACATGATCCAATCGTTTGTAGTCGCTGCGCCCGTAGTAAAGGACCACAGTGGAGATGGACTGGCTGATGAGCTCTGTCAGTCTCTGGTTAAGGTCGGAGTGACTCACCCAGACAAACTGGCTGCAATCTGCATGGATGGGCAGTATCACCATAACCGAGTGCCAGAGAAACTGCTCAGTCGGCTCAGGGCCACGGACCCACGGTTCAATACGGCCCCGTCAGTAGTTGTGCTGTGGGACGGGGCTCACCTGCTCAACCTGGCCGAAGATGACGCGCGACGTTCAAATGGCTGTGAGTGGGTAGAGAAGGTCATCGCTCAGGTGACAGGCATCACCAAGCGCTACACAGTGGGCAAAGGGCTCGAAAGGCTTCTCAATGCTGGGGAGGATCGGGGCGAGAAGGTGGTACGACCGAAGCTGTGGTCGGGGACAAGATTCGCCCCTTACGCAGCAAAGACGCTGGAAGTCTTCCTCCGCAACCTGCAAGTGATGGAAGACGCCCTGGAGCAGCAAATCAAATCAGGGGACACCGATGGCAGCGAACAGCGAGATCTCCGGCTGCTTCGAGGTAAGCTTTTCATGGGTATACAAATTGGAAATGTGTATACCTGTTGTCGGAGTAGTAAGGCTCGCGCAATTCTCTTCATCGTTTTGTACTTTGGCTAACAGCCATCGTGTAATTAATTCATCAATCTAGTTTTAAATATGAAGATAACTCTGGCTGTTGATGCAATTATGCAGCCTTTTTAATGTACTGTTTTTGTGCTTATGTTCCATAACCTATTTTATGCACCGTTGGCGTTGATGAGAAGCAATGATTGTTTTCAACTGTCGAAACATAATGCAATTAGTATTCGCCCTGCAATTTCTAGTCAGGTATACACTTCTGTACCAAGATGCATTTGTCGCTGCCTGCTGCTGCTGACCGCCAGTGGTTGGCTGGTATCGTATGTGGTATGGTACTTCAGTAATGACAAATTTATCCCTTATATTCAACGTGGGCGGATTTGCTAGATAAGAACCCGCGTCAAAGTGAAATGCTTCTTTTTCCACAGACCCGACGTTCGTGACCAAACTGGCAGCCTTGTGCGACATTTACGGCGTGCTCGCGGAGGGCAGCAAGTCGCTGCAGAACCTGCAGGTTCTCCCCTGGGAGCGACAGAGGATGTTCTCCACGATGCTGGATAATTTCACGGAGATGCAGGACGCCGTGGAGTTGGACGACGAAGGCGAGCTGAAGAAGAGGTGGCCGGTCTTGTCGTCACTAGCAACTGTCGCCGATGATCAGGTACGATAAATGTGTTTTTTTTTTTTGCGTCGCCATGCGTCGTTTTACGTTAGTTTCTACATCGATTGGCGCCGTTATGCTTTTTTTAACCCGATGGATTTTTTTAACCCGCGCTCTGCTTTCAGTGCGCGGTGTGTCTATCCCACAATGTTTTTTTTTTTTTTGATGATGCGAAAAAACGGCCTTGCGGCGCCAAATTCTCAGGACCTTACCAGAATTGGATCACACTTTGGGTACAATTAACGACCCCGTGTCACCTAAGCCTAGGTCACCAGATCAGGTCGAATTTCGGACATGCAAAAGGTCAACTTTGCACCTTTCCGGTTGTGCCGTGGCCACATTTTCAAGCTATCGATTTGAAACTTTCAATGTGATAATATGACTCCATCAACGTTTATAATTCGTATATATCTGATTGTTTTTCATATCGGTGAAGTGAGAGTCCACTTTCGTTACCTCCTCAATATATATGTACCTAAATGCTTCCTTTTTCGAGAAGACTCGTTAGATCAATACAATTTCAGCAAAGCCGCGTCGTGATGTGCCAAATTTGACCTCGTGTGACCTTACTGATATTGACTTGGAGTGATAGAACTTGCACATAAAAGCTATCCAAATTTCGACCTTCTAGCTCTTGTGGGAGCCGAGATAGAAATGGGGCAGATTCTGCCCCCCCCTCCAGGGTGTGTTATCATCAAATCCCTTTCAATAATAAGTTATAACAATAATAAGTTTTGTTTGTTGCGCTCGAACTAAACATGACCTTGATTGTTGGCTAGTCACGACTTAGGAGAGAAACGTTCATGAGCGGTGTCCAGTTTTCGGGAAAACGATTGAAAGGAATTGCCAACTCTTCACGAATAAATTATTTTGGTTGATTTTTTCATCTGTGTCTGTTTTCATTTAACTGGTCTGGTCCGACGCGTTATTGATCATTTTCACATCAATTTTGACTATAATGGTTTCATTTAGCTGAATTGACTTTTTGATATAGTCTACCTACCTACCTGACATCCTTAATGTTCGAAGTTAAGTCAGCGTATTTACCCTATAACTGAAGGCCCACGTCCACCTATACGTTTTTTACGTACGTAGGTGTCATAGTCTGCCGACGTGTATGATTACCTAAACCCAGGATGTCTTTTTTTCTCAGCTTGCATCGATTCTGAAGTTCGTAGCGGCCCTCTGCGACAGAGCGCGTGCCCGCAGTCGCGGGCTTGATGTAAGAGGGAACGCGAAAGGAGCGATGAACGGCAAACTGCAGTGGGCCGTAAGCGATGCCAAGATCATCGCCGATCTGAAGTCTCTCCAACAGGTGAGGAATGTCGACTGCCTGAAGAGCGTGCGACGCAGCGTCGAAAACCTCGTCAGCCAGCGCATGGTGCCAGTCAGTGCGGCCGTGGACGAGGAGGACATTATGACCGTGTATCGGTTCCTCACCGGCCAGCCAGCGGGGGCGAGCAACCAGCAGTTGCTGCAGGCCCTGCTGAAGGAGGCCACCGACAGCCGCACGTTCGAGCGGTACGCCCACTTAGTCATCAGGCTGTGGCTACTGAGTCCCCCAGAGTCCGTAGTGGAGAGCATGGCGAGTGTGGTCGGGGACATATACGGCGTGCACAGGCAACTCGACCACCGCAATGCCGAGCGTGAACTGATGATTCGCTGGAATGGGCCTGATGTGCACCACAGTGGGGACCTTGTTGAGGCCGTGCAGTGCCGATATAACAACTCCTTTGTAAGAGGGTCTGTAGACGCAAGGACGGCTATAGAGGGGACGGTTGTCAGGCGGCATAAGAGTACAACATGCCGCAGGACAACTGTCTTCAGGTGAGCAAGCTATAGAGCCTACTTCGATGCGTCGCCAACCCAAGTTTTCCGAAGACTATGTACACAATTAGAAATGGTAGGAGGTGAAGTCTGATAGAATGCCCTGGAATTGGAAATGGTTTTTGCTTTCAAGCATGGAGCTACTGAATTGCACCAACCTTTTCTCGCTTTACATGCAGTCGACATTTGCCAGTGGCGGCCAGTGCTGTTACAGCTGCGGTCGTGCTGGGATATCTGGGCTGACCGTTAGCGAACGGTAGGTGTACCTACCTACATACGGTATCATTTGTATCATATTTGTATCGCCTTGGCGTGCTGACCATAACAATGGATTAGGCTGGGGGAGAGAAACGTTCTGTTGTTTTGTCTGATTGTCTGATGATGTCTGTCTGATTGTCTGTTGTCTGATTCTGTTGTTTTTGTTCCAAACTAGACGGAGTTTCAACTAAAAGATGATTATATTGTTTTTGTTCATCAAAATGTCAAAATGTATAGACATTTTAAAAGAATAAGGGCCCAAAGTTTATATAAATTGGTGTAGATTCGGGCATTGGCCCATGAACTAACATGTTCTTCCCTTTCATCTAAGCGCATTTCCGGAACATGACTGTATTGGGCTTATAGGTAATGCGCACCACTGTGTCCGTGTTTGTTTCTCTTGAACATTGAATACACGTTGTCGGTCACCTCCTGACGTGTTAGCGGTTTCTTCGAATGAGACAAAATGACGTGCCGAGCACCTAACTGACAAGTAGGTAAGTGACCGCTCAGTTTCACTATAAGTCAATATCGCCGTGAAGCGTTCTTGTCATTAAAGGGACCCTCCCACCTTCAAAAAAGTTTATGAATTGGCATGAAAGTGATGTCGCTCGGTTCAGAAAGAGCGAAAACGAATATCTACCAAATTTCACCGAAAAATATTCACCGGTTTTCAAGATATTAGACTTTTACTTTTGTTTACTTTTTTGGGATCTCCGCTGTTTCTAGCGACTTTATTTTAGAAGTGCGGCGTTTGCGGCAGATGTTGCGCGCAAATAGCATATACCACCGCGTGCTACAAAACGTTTTAGTCAAACATTTAAAAATCGTTAGATATTTGCGCTGACGTCACACATTCAGAGGGGTATTCCTAAGCATTAGCCCCTCTGAATCAAAATGCTGCAATTTTGAAATTCAATATTTCCGATTTAAGGCATTTCTCGATGTTGTGAGTGCCGAAACCGGTAATTGTGAGCCAGGGACCCCATTTTGGCTATCTCAACTCAAATCTAATGTTAAGGTGGGAGGGTCCCTTTAAATGGTTGTCAGATTGGTGATAATGTTGATAAAACATAATAAGTGGTATATCGTTAAAGTATAGCCATATTATCAAAGGGACAAAAAGTTTTTTTTTACATTTGCGGTAGTGAGAAACAGGCAACAGCTCACTTACTATTTACCTATTAAGGTGGAAACTTGGTGGAAATCTAGTGGTGGAAGAAACGCTGTCGGTGGAAGATTCGGCCTTTGTTTCACCTCTGCCCCCCCCCCCCCCCCCCGTCGGTACGAAGTTGGCGCAGACCCCCGTCGGTGCGCGGGTTAAATAGGTCAGCGGACAAAGTTTCCGGTGCAGCTGTAAGGGCTGTTATAGCTTATTGCAAGACAGTTGCTGCGGCTAGCTTGCTGTTATAATGAGTCTAATTTCATCCTTCATTTAATAAACGACCAATGCCGTTTCAATGGCCAAGTCAAAGGTTTTCTAAGTTAGCACATTAAAAACCTTTTCCTTGATTAGATACGATACGCACACTAACGGGCACACTAATAGGGAATTTGATATACCGAGGCAGTTCTCCGAATTGCTTAGTTGCGCCATTCTTTTCCTAACTAAACGAAATATTCTAATTGTTGATCGCATTTGATCAAATTTCATATCAACTTCAATCGACATTCCTTCGCGAGATTAAAATCGCGCTGTTCTCAACTCCAGCTCCTGCATATATACCTTAGTTTGATCTTGAAATCCCTCAATAGCATGAAATAACATTTTGAATAAGAAGCTGGTTTTGTAAGGTCTTCTTACAGCAGGTCCCGGCACAGAACCAAAAATCGCCGCGCTGTTCGTCGCACTCAGCCGGTGTGAGGGGAGAGAGCTCCGTCATACCCGACTTCTCATGCCCATGTCGTGCGTCCATTGCCTTTATAACACAGTGCAAGGCGTAAATCTACCACATGTCTGACGTCTCGTTCTCGCTTTGACCGTCAGAACGTGCCGACCACTATCCCGAAGAAGGCGCAGTGCGTGCTGCAGGAGGCCTCGACGGGCGGCAACGTGCGAGGTACCATCATGTTCGAGAGGATGGACGACTCCGACGACTCCATCATGGTCACCGGTACCGTCTCCGGTAAGACGTTCATTGAAAATTGATCACCAAGCTGGTATAAGCTACTATCCAAGCGCATTTTTTCACCTTTTTTTCTTCTTTTAATCAATCATATAGGGCTTGTATAGTGTATACCTACCCATTAGCTGAAACTCGATATACTCGATATGTGTAACTCGATGGGTCTTTAGATCAATTTTGCACTTGGTAGCGTTTTCATGGCCTCAAGTAATGGTAAAGCTTTGCTCACTGTCTCTCTGTCCGTCGTCCTGTCCTTCCTTGTGTCTGCCTGCATCTGTTTTATAATCTACAGCATAGCATCGGTGCCGTAGCTGTACTACGCTGACTGTCTAACCCCACACCGCGCCGTTTTCCCTCAGGACTGAGCGCGGGAAAGCACGGTTTCCACGTGCACCAAGTTGGCAGCACCGCTGACGGCTGCAAGGCTGCCAAGGGCCACTTCAACCCCTTCGGTGAGCTGACGGGCAAAGGCGGGATATGGTGGGTGTGTGATTACCTGGGTGGCTCTCTATCACACTTGAGACTCCGTCTTTCTGTGTGTTTGTCTCTTTATGATTGTCAAGTTCTTTCATTGGTCGATTCTTATGGAACTAATATCGTGCGTGATGACCGTAAATCTAAACGATAGCGAATAGTTATAGCAATAAAGCTTGTCAATGGCATCGGCGGATGTGCCACTCAATTACAATCCTATTGTATTTTTCATCGTGCTTATACATGCTTATCGGTATGTGTGTCTTACGTATACAGGTTGTAAACATTTTTTATCAAACGACTTTTTAGAACAGACCATGTGGCAGGTGTGAATTAAAAGTTTTTCTTCTTCTTTCTGTGCGTGGTTATTAAACAACTAATAACAATAATTTGACGGCTCGCGATTGACTGATTGACTGTTCTCTTGCTATTTTTATTCCATCTAAATAAATATGTCTCATTGCTTACATGTTCTGGTTAAGTGAATTCAAAATTGCGTCGAAGTGCATATTTTTTGTCCTTGGCTGGTGCACAACCACCCGGCCTGGCTCTGTCGCAGGGGTTCGGAGTCGGAGTCGGAGTCGGAGTCGGTGACGGAGTCGCGTGGAGTCATAGCGACGAGCAGGAAGTCGGAGTTGGAGTCAGGTCAAACGGTCTTGACTCCAACTCCCGCGAATGTCAATCAATTTGAATCTTAGGCATCAATTTTAGCCAACGAGATCAAAACTTGGTGTGTTCCTCGAAATATGTGCTTAATGTATCTTTTTCTTACGCTGTATATCAACGAGCCTTTGACCTTACATAGGCACATCATTAGCGGGTAGGTACTCAATCTTGGAGACATAAATTCTTGTAAATCTTATTTGCTCCCTCAGAGTCGTATGATTTTTATCAAAGTGGGTCTGTCCCGCTGACCTGAAATTCCTCCAAAACGCCTTCGGGCGATTCTCTTATTCCATTCGAATGAGTGATAAATGATCCCTGATAGGTGTGGTCCTACAGGTATTGCCATTCAGGGATGATTCGACTTCCATTCGTTTGCTAAACCCTTGCCCGTATTCTTTATTTTCTCGAATTCCCCTGCAGGGGCGTGAATTGGGGCAGGGGAAAACGCTTCCCGCTTCTAACCGAAGTGTGGTAATAATTCGCTAAATTGGGGACGAAACCTGTAGAGAAATGTCTAAAATGATCGAATATTTTGACTCTTGATAGATATTTTAGACAGTCATGGTGTAAAGAAAAAAAAAATAATTCGGAGCAATTGGTGGTTTCAAACCTGACACACCAATGTTCGCACTCCTATGCCAAATACATAACGAAATCCTTAGGAAAGGCTGCATTGCCTCCCCATCCCCTTTACCAGCGAGAGCTAAGACTATGGCTAGATTACATCATAGCTGAGTGCATAGACGTGCAGGGTCTGAACTCAAAGTCCGAGTCAGGACAACGCTACCACGACACATAAACCCTGTCCTGTCGTGTAACCGCGCCTGCGTCACTTCATCTTACCGTCGCGAAATGTCTCCTCTCTCATCACTAGTGATGTCAATTACATACAGAAAGTTGGAAGCCGATACCAAACTAAAAGCCTATCAGAACCATGAAATATCAAAAACCAAACCAACCTGGCTTATTGAGAGAAGTACCAACTTCTTGCCAAGTCCAGAACGCTATACAGATGGCGTCATGGCGTCACGCCTATCTACGCTATGTAGATAGGCGTCATGAAAAACAACAAAATGCCAAAAACCTTGGATCGAAAATATCAAATACCAAATCCAGGGTATCTGAGTGCCATATCTAACAGTCACTGGTTGGTCACTATTCCAGGCAGTGACCACGGCGCTCCGACGGCCGAGAACCGTCACGTCGGAGACCTGGGCAACATCGATGCCGACGCCACACTGACGGCCAACGTCAACATCAAGGACAGCATGATCAAGGTGAGGGAGTCAGACTTTTTCAGACTGTTGTACAGACTGTCGGTCAAACTGCGTTCAGATGGACAAACGGTAGGAGACCTGATAGATGTCCCACGGGACATTCAAAACGCTTGACGAACATTGGTCAGACCATGCAAATGACCCGTCGGATTGCCACCCTGCCAGATTTTCAAGCTGTTGCCTGTTGGCCAGTCAGTCAATCTGCCGACCAGTCATAGTATCAGACTGGTGCCCGGTTAGATTATCTACCGACGGCTGGTCAGATGGTAACCGTCCGGTCAGACTGCTCAGTGCTGGTTAAACGTCAAATTACCAGACCATTGATCGACAGGACAGACTGCGACTGGTGCAGTCTGACGTAGTAATATCAGTACTAGCGGCGTAGCAGGCCGCTCGATGTCCCAACAATCTGATATATTGCACGCCAGGAGTGAATTGGTGTTTCAGCGCTAAGTGCTATCGTGCAGAAGGTATTGCGGGGCTGGCACGCGCCATCGTTATAAATGAACGCTTCTTAAAAGGAAAGTACATTGAATTCAATGTGCTCCTGTTACTGCAGTCTTTTCATGCGTGTATTATTTTCTGCCCGCATTATTACATATTTTATTTAATATCTAGAACACATGGTTGTATGAAGCTTGATAATGCACGAAATGACGCATAGGCAAATACTCGCTCGAGAGAGACCATGTAGCACGGCATTTAATCAGACAACAATCACTCGTGTTAAGAGGATTTATAGGACTTAAGGCTCCAAACCAGCACGAACCATCTCTCTTCACTGGCGTTACATTCGGGGATGGAACCTTTGACATGAGTTTGGGAAAGAGTTTGAGTTTGAGAAAGTTGAATGTTGCTTCTGACCCTCCGTCGTTGATTGTCCCTCACTGACCCCACTGACCTCTCTGACCTCTGTTGACAGTTTGCTGGTGACGCCAACATCCTGGGCCGCGCTATCGTCATCCATGCCGGCGAGGACGACCTGGGCCTGGGCGGGGAGGCGGACAGTAAGACCACCGGCCACGCCGGAGCCCGGCTGGCCTGCTGTGTTATCGGAGCCCTCAACTGACCGCCTTCATCGGCAGTGGTGGCGACGGAGGATAGCCGGTGACGGCGAGCGGTCCTTCGTAAGAGAGTGGGAAGGGTCGAGCGGTGTGTGAGGGATGATATCCTCGCATGAGGATTGATGTAGCGATAGGATGGATAGGTGCGTGTGTGTGTGTTTGTGTGTGCGCGCGATTGTCGATATGCGGTCGCTGTGGGAAAGTGAGGACCATTAGTTGACGACACTGCCGCCAGGAGCGCTGCTGTTGCTCACGGTATGTTTGTCGGCGCTGCTGTGCAGTTGCGATTCGGTGTGTAAAATGTTACGTGTATAACTGAAGACCAAATATTTTCGTATTGAACGCAAACGCCATCAGGACAAACTGCCGTGGTGGTCATGCTGACGATTCCAGAGAGCGTCATCTGCCGCTGTCATCTGCGTGCGGGGTTCCATTTGTTCAGCTGACCTCTTCACCCCACTGAAACATTTGACCTCAAACGGTCGTCTGTTTAATCCCTCCTAAGGTCTCGAGCAAGCCGATCGAGAAATACTAAGGCGATCCGTCTCTTTAGCAACGCGTGGAAAGGGATGGCTGCAAAACGAGCCAGTGTCATTCTGAATGAGTGTTGTGACACGCGAATAGACACCACGCTATGGCGATAGCTCGATGAATCGTGAGGTGTTCAAAGACGGCGATGTTCGCTACGGTCCTTTGACTGCCTCTCAGAGCGTCGAGCGCAGGCGACAGCTGGCAAACGGCAGATATCACTGATGAATTAGCGTCTTAATGCATGACATTCCCTATGTATGAGCCATTGGGTCATAAAGCCAGCTAATTAGCTGCGGTTCCACTTAGTTGCTTGTCTTTGTGTGTTGTGTGCTTGTCCTCCAAAGCGTTGATGCTGTCAGGTATCATCTTTATTTTATTTATTCCGATCTTTGGCGTCTTTTTATTATATAAGAATCGGCAAACAAAATATCTGACATCGGCAGACAGTTGTCCGATGTGATAAACAAATAAACTGATGACAAACTAATACACTGTTTTGTGTATTTATAACGTAGACGGCTAATAGCGAAAGTGGATGGACCTTTCTTGCGTTGCAAGATGACGTTATTCTGCATTCTGCAACCTGACAAGTTTTCGTCGCGGCAAATCTTCGTCAATAAGGAATGCTAAAAAAACGCAACGGGTCAAGTTAGGGCTAGAACGTGTTCGATAAGGGTTAGCTAGGTAGCGTCAGGTTATTTCTTTCATGTAATCGGGTTGAAGATAGCCGTACGAAAAGTTTCGGATGAAGACTTGTCCCTGGAATCAATTATTTGTGTTATTACTGTAAAAGCATACCTATAAAGCACAAATGCGCTTCAAAATTATGGACATGAGTCTAGCTTGAAGTCGAGAAAATGTTTAACAGATTATTATGGCTTATACGCTTTAAAACAGAGTTGTCTAGTTATTTCAATCAGCAAAACCTACTATTAAGCACCACAGCGAAACCGGCAATTCAGTGACTTCCCAGGCCTCTAAGTTCTGATGGCTAAATATGTTTTTCCGTCTTCCTTCACTCTATTGGTTCGTGTCAAACAGCCGTATCGTTCAATCTTATTTATTTCTTTATGGACTGATCCTGCTCCCTTGAGATGCGTCTCGTTCTCCTTGATCTTCTGCTTCTAGAGTGGCGCCTGGTTCTTTTTGAACGATATCTGGACCTTCTTGATCGGTGTCTGCTCCTTCGCGAGCGACGCTTCCTTGATCGGGAGCGCAGTCTAGACGTTCTTGAGTGACGCCTGTCCGATTCGATCATCCGTGCAGGTTCTTTAGAAGCTGTAAATCTTCCGGAACGTGAAGCACCTCTGGAGTCAATTCCTGTGGAGGTTGGTACTTCTTGCTCTAGAATAGTTTCTGAGTGACGGTGGGAAGCTTTTGAAATGCGACTGGTTTTATTCATTCGACGGCTTGACTCGGTCGATTCATGCTCTATCGTCTCAGAGCTGTTTGTAAGAGTCGGACATTGTTCAGCTAGCATTGAACGATTAGCGTTTCTCCCGGAACTATTTGTCTGGAAGCGACTGGGGTCTTCACGTCGTCTGTGAATTCCCACACAATGTCGGCCTGATTTAATATCGCTCCGAACTGCCTTGGATTGACTCTTGGATAATCTGGAGCGATATTTGGTTTGTTCCGTACAGCGAATAGAGGAATTGAAATGTCTTTCTCTTACACGACTGCTTTTTGACTTGGATCCCGATTGGTCTGGCAAAAGTTTACGCAGTTCATGTTCCTGTTCGGCACACGGATGTTGGCCAGGGGTTAGGCTAGATGACATTTCTTTGGGATTCGAACTGGACGTTGATTCTGATCTGATTTTCAGGACTGATGCACCCATCGAAATGTGCTTGCAAAAGACAAACAGGAGCAAATGAAGCCTCCAGTAGTCCATGATTCTGAAAAGAGTAAACAATTGGTATAATTAAACGGAGCTTGAATAGCATCAGCTTTGTTTCTATTTAGTTTTTGTCAGATTGCGTTATTGAGTTGTTGTCGTTCCTGGTGTCACACCGACAAGTTTTTTTTCTTGCAAGTGATAACGTGGACTTACCATCGGGTATTGTGGAAACTGGAGACAGAAAGAAGTCCATGCAGATTGTATTGAACAAAATACTCAGGTATGTAAGCGACTGGGAGACGAAAATAAGTCCAAAATGTTAATGAAATATGAATACTGACAGCAGAAAATACACATTATACTAACGATATAACAAACATATTATTGCCTCAGAACTGGTGTGAAAAAAATGGCATCGGTTTCTATGGGCACCTATGCTAAATTCTGGCTTCCGATCGACATATCAAGCTCACCTCGGGATGCCTCCTACCTTGTTATGGACGTGACGCTACACAGTCGAGACCCCTGTACGATCCTGCCATTCCTCACGGTCGAGTACTAGATCGGAAAATGAACTACGACCGATGCTCCATTGACACGTGACTGGCAACGACGCAGTTGCATCCGAGAAACAGTCAGACTGTCACAGAACGTCAGCACAACACCAGTAAAGGTCACAAATAAGCTTAATCGCTGTAGAGAAACAGCAGTTCTACATACGTGTATGCAATGCATCCAAAATTTAGAGTATTTTGGTGTTCGGCGACATTTGCCTCAACCCTCACCTGTGTGGGGCGTTTTCCGGCGTCTAATATGTAGGAGGGGTGAGTTGGACCCCCTTCCTGCCGTTCGGCCCTTGATCGAGCTAGAGAGCTTCGCGGAAAAAATGAGCGTGTTGCCCGTGACGAGAGGAAGCCGATGATGCCCAACTGTAAGGTCCTAGGTCATTGGTTGACCTTCCAGGTCAGGTCAATGCCCCAAAAGTCGGGAAATTAATTCAAGCGTTCAAATTAACGTAATTTCAAAATAACGCTTAAAATAAAACAACTATTTTTTTACGTTCTGAACTATGTATGTGAAGTTAATTACAAGATAGCCTTTTTGGCACTAACAAGAAAATCCAAATCGTCCAGCTCTGAGTTCGGTTCTGACATGGATGTCCGGCATGTCTGGTAGCCCCGGGTGACTGCCGTGGGCGCGGTGGGGGTGGGAGCCGAGGCTGGTAAACCATCCTCCGGTGTCCCTGGTCACTGCTTAGTCGGTGTTCAACGGTCGGCTGAGCTCCGGTCGGCTCCCGCTGGCCCCTCAGCTGCGTCACGGCTGGCGGTCGCTCGCTCCATAACTTTTAAGTGATTTATATTATGAATTCAAATATCTGCCTTACGGTCAGCTTCTGAGCTTCCTAGCTTTGTTTACTCTGTTCTGACCGGAAGCGGACAATTCTCCGAAGCCGCAGCCGCGCTGCCCAGCCATGCGCCCCCGTCTGACTGCCGTGCTCGCCGTGCTAGTGGCCGCGGCGCTGGCCTCCGAGCGGTTCCAGCTCGGCGTCGGTCCCCGTCCGTCCGTCTGGCTGCAGCAGCCGGCCGCTCCGTCGCTGGTGAGCTGCGCGGCCCGCTGCCGACAGCTGGGCAGCTGCCGGCTGCTGGTCTGGGAGAGCGGCAGCTGCCGGCTGGCGGACGGCGACAGCACCTCCGCGGCGACCGAGGGACCCGAGATCGCTCTCTACCGACGAGCTGACACTCTTGTATCGGTCTCGGGTATTGTGAGTACTACAGCAGGCGCTGGTATTTCGACAGCGTCCAGCTCGGTCACGACTGAAGGTCAGACTACATCCTCTGTGTCAACAACTGTGACTGAAGTTCAAGCTACATCTACTGCATCGACGACAGGGGTCCATTCGTCCACCACATCATCCTCAGAAAACGGAGTGTCCCCAACCTTTCCGTCCAGCTCAACCATGACTTCGATTTCCACTACCGTAACATCAGCAGATAATCCTGCGACCACCGCAGCTTCAACGGCTCCCTCAGCGGCTTCCACTGCAACGACTACAGAGATACCCGTGTCCACCACGACCTCGACAAGCGAAGTGTCCACAACGTCCCCGTCCACCTCAACCATAGCTCCAGCTTCCACTACCGTAACATCAACAGGTCTCCCCACCACCACCACGTCTTCTACAGCCCAGCCCACAACGGTTACCACTACGACTACAACCAGTTCGTGTCCCTCCGGCTTCACACTGGTGGGCGGCCACTGCTATTGTCACAAGATCACTGATCCTGCCCTGACCTTTGACGGCGCCCGGGCGATGTGTGCGTCTTTGGCTAGAGGCGGCGACTTGGGGGGCCTCTACACACCAGCGCACCTCGAGTTCTTCGAGCAGCACCCAGACCGCCCAAACACGCAGCAGTGGATCGGACTCAGGATACCTCTAGGAAGTCTTGAATTCAAGAACCTGGATAACTCCCGACCGGCGATACCGAACTTTGGTGACCTTTTGGATGGTCCCCTTGCCCTGCACCTCAGCCTGCCTGCAGGCCTGACTACAGGGTCGCTATTACGAGCTACCGCGGCGACGGAGCTGTTTGGTGCCGTCTGTGAGGCTCCTATCAAGTAAAAGAAGTGGAACGGCGCTTAACCCTCGCCCGCACATGGGGGGTGGTTGCCACCCCCCCCCCCCCCAGGTAGTCTTTCTGCTCTGCACTCAACATTTTTAGAGCTAGAAGGCTGATTTTTCGCATAGCTGCTCCTCTATCCTTTCTTGATGTCCACTGAAAATTTCAAGTTTCTGTGATTTTTGGTTTCGGAGATATGACCTTGTTTGTCAGGTCATGTCATGACCCAAATGGCCAATTCTCAACATTGCGTTTGCCATGGGCCTTATGAGCTTTTGACACCCTGATTTCGGCCTTTTTTGCCAGTCTTACCTCCCACCTATCATGGAACATGTTGTTCGACGATGTACAGGGGTCAAGGTCAGGGTCAAGGTCAACCTAGGTCATCTAAGATAATTGCGTTTTAGGCAAGCTGAATTTAGGTACTTTTTTGAAGTTTTTTGACTGCATTTTTGGTAACAGCTTCTCAGATCATGATTTCATGTAATATGGACCCAAAAACAATCGGTGCACACATCAGTATACACACAGACACACACAGACATACAAACACATATAATTGACCTTGACCTAACTTGACCTGAAATGACCTCAGCAGCAAAATTCTAGTCGGGTAGTGTGACAAAGAGGTTCTAGCTGGCTTGACACCAGAAAACAGCATCGTCATCGGTATTTGATAAGCAGCACACTTGATATCCAACGGTGACCCAAAACAGCAGCATTTTTTAGTTTGACCTGACCTGGAAGGTCAATGACTGACCTGAGAAGGTAAAACTGGGTATCATTGGATTCGTCTCTTCCCAAAGAATCTTTTTGGTCTTTACCGCTAAGCTCTATCTCCAACAGGAACGAAATGGCGCGGGGGGGGTGGCAACCCCCCCCCCCCCCATGTGCGTTCTAGGATGGGAAAATGGCATGTGCGCTCAACGCACCGCAGAAGCCTGTCTTGTGGCACACCACAGCAGCACGTTATGATATAGCCCGTCCGACAGGTGTGTCACAGCGCAGCAGTGCGGAAATTAACAGTAC